CCCCCCCCCGCCTTCACCGCTGACCATCGAAGCCGCGAGACAGAAATACGCCCAGACGACCGAGTTCCGGTACCTCGGTGGCCTCTTCAACGAACATGGCGACCTCACCCGGGAGATCAACTACAGGAGCAGAGGAGCGTGAGCGTGCCTCAGGCGACATGGCCGGGAGCTCTTCGACAGACCGAAAGCGCCATTCCGACTCAAGATCCGCCTGCTCCAGGCGGAGGCGATGGAGGCACTGCTGTACGGCTGCATGACATGGTCACCACTCAGCGGCCACTATCAGACGCTGCGGTCGATACACCACCGACTGCTCCTTCGAGTTATCGGGTACAAGCGCAAGAAAGACACCTAGCGGCAGCTCGCTTCCGCCCAGACGCTGAAGAGGGTCGAATGCCAGAGCGTTGAAGCCACGATCCGACAACGACGCCTACTGTTCGCGGGAGCATTGGCAAGGCAGCCGGACGGGCGACTCCCGAAACGACTGATGTTCGGCGAACTGGCAGGGGGGGAGAAGCGACGTAGGGGGGGACAGGAACAGAACTGGCCGAAGTGTGTGCTCGACGACCTGAAGGCATTCGGGGCCGACCACGGATCTACGAAAACCGATCCATCCATGTTGTCTCGGAATCCCGGTACCGAAAGACACGGCACCGAAGTCAAAGTGGACGGAAGCCGCGAAGGTGGAGGGGGGAGTACCCTGACATGCGGCGGTGCTGCAGGGAGCTGAGAGGTTCATGACATCCTGGCACGAGAAGGAAGAAGAGGCCAGCCGACAACGAGCGCTCAAACGAAACCACAAGCCAACAACCAAAGGGGCGGGAGGGGGGCAGGAGACGGACGACGCGGCGAGGGAAGAAAGCAAACGAGACGAGACGGACCGAGTGGCACGACACGTGCCAGGCCGAACTTTTTTTAGCCAATCCCCCCCCCCCCCCCCCCCCCCCCCCCCCCCCCCCCCCNGCCGGTTGATGGCCATGTTTGCGTGTTTGCTTGTTCGTTAGTGGTCTCTCCGCCGTGTGCCTTTTTCTGTCTCTTATTTCTTGTTACTTTCGGCCTGGTCCCTTTTTGTCCTCGCTCTTTTTCAGTTCATTTTCTCTTTCCTTACTGTTTCCTTTTATTTTTCCTCTTTTTCTCTGTTTTTTGTTTTTCGCTTCTTCTGTGCCAGATGGCCTTGTCTCTGCTTGCGTTGTGAAGTACCAAGATTGAACTAAGGGGTTGTGCCTCTTTCTCTCCGGCCCATGATGGTGACCCCTAGTCTCAGTTGTTATACCTCGCATAGCGCGCAGAGGNTCCTCTTTTTCTCTGTTTTTTGTTTTTCGCTTCTTCTGTGCCAGATGGCCTTGTCTCTGCTTGCGTTGTGAAGTACCAAGATTGAACTAAGGGGTTGTGCCTCTTTCTCTCCGGCCCATGATGGTGACCCCTAGTCTCAGTTGTTATACCTCGCATAGCGCGCAGAGGGAGTGGAGGACTCCAGAATATCTGTCGTTGATTTCTATTGACTTGCGGACCCCTCGGGGCCAGTTTATTTGAGTGTACCTCTTTAGGGTAAGTTCGCCTGCGACCACGGGAATCGACCGCGTCGAGTGTTGGATCAGAACGGACATACGAAGGTACTGGGTAGAGAGAGATCGGAACGGTTTTTAATGTGAAGACAACAACAACAACAACAACAACAACAACAACAACAACAACAACAACAACAACAACAACAACAACAACAACAACAACAACAACAACCCGATCTCGATCGCCCCGTCGTTCTAGTGGTGCATTCTTGACTAATATGTTAGACACACGCTGCTAGAAGAAACCAGGCTTCTGCCAGAATCGATTATGTCGATGACGATATATGTAGTCTCTTCATGGAGCGATGCGTGAATCGTACACAGTATTGTGGTCAGTCGTTCCATGCAAGCAACGAGCAATTGGCGGTAGTCGTCAGACCCGTAGCCCCGCCCTTTGAAGGAAAATTGCACGTCGGGGGAGGGGGGGGGAGTACCCTGGAGGACGGGCAAATCACCGATGAAGAACTTCAACCCATGGGGCCGCGACTAAGATGGAGGGGGGCAACACTCCAGGGAAGCTTATATTACTATATTCAAGTCTAAACCTTTACAGTTGCGCAGACAATGTAAGCGAGATAACGTTTTCTTCCGAACTTAGTGTTACTGGGAGGGAGGACCCTCATTCGTTTCTTGCAGGCAGCGTGCTTTGAGGATGCGTGGAAATGTTGGATTTTGCCTGAATATGTCGTTTGTGTGTGTCTCACCTGTCATTCTCGCAGTCAGTTACGAAATCCAACCTGCCAATCTGTCTGTCCTAAAACCCAACCCCGGCGATACGGCAACGACGATCACGATTGCGTGACGATGTCCGGATGCTCTTCTCGACGGTGGCCGTAGCCTTCGCGTCCTTCTGTGTCACCTCGACGATGAACATTGTAGCACGACCACATCCTCTCGCGCTCCGAAACCCTCATACGAGCACTCTGTGTGATGCTTAGGGAAAGCCGCGAGCTGTGCAGGAAAAGGGCCCTGCTAGCAGCGGAGAAGATCCCTGGTTGAGGCGAGCTCGACATTTCTTGATAACAACCCCCCGTGCCTGAAACATCACTTGTGTTGCGTTCGTTCCCAAGTGACTTGACTTGTGCGTGAAAATATGTCGCTCTTTGTTGATCTCTCCTCCCGGCCGAACATTGACTTGGTTTCTTAGTAGCCCTCGCTTTTTTTGTCTTCCCCCCTGCTAGGCTTGGTTTTTGTAGCGCTCGGAAATCACTTGACTGGAACTTTGCGTTCAAAGCTGCCGCCATTCCGTCAACTCGACGAGGCGAGCCGAAAGACTTCGGACTGAGAAAGATTTTGGTCACGCGAGGTCACCGCCAAGAGGGGAAGGCGTTTTCTGTTACATCGCGTCACACATCACATCACAGATTTGATTAGTGCTTGATTTTTACGGCTGGCTGAGACCCCCATTTGCAATTACTTTCAGTCCTCGTCCCCGAGTGAACGCATGACGCCGTCGCACCAGTTGCAGGCCCCCAGAACGTGGAGGAATTGGTTGTTCCCGACCAAGTGAAAACATCATGCAAGTGAAGTGCGTGCAACACATGACTGCCATGCTACATTAGAGTCCCAGTTGTTCCTTCTCAACCGCTTTGCTCGCATTTTCTACCGAAGCGCATTGTCAACCATCATGGGAGACTCTATTCCAAATAAACGTCTAAACGAGAAATAAGTACCGGTTCACGTCCGGCTACGCGCCAGAGCGGGCCCGTTATACCGTATACGACACAAGATAACACACACCCTGGACCGATTTTCAAAGCTCGATTACTCCACGACGAAGAGGATGCATAAACAAAACGATACGTTTTCGAAAAGCTCTCAACGAGACGGTTTCAACGCCGCCGTTTTCGGCGCTGTGACTGTTCCAGCAGTTGAGAAATCGAGCTTCGAAAATCGGTCAAGGGGGTGTGTTATCTTGTGTCATACACGGTACTCAGGTATATCCCTTCCTGCCACTGCACACGAATACTAAAAAATATTTCTGCTAACTCATATAGTCTAACCTACAACGGAGCAGAGCTCTTTGGTGCGGACATCCAGGACACATCGATACACCAAAAATGTTTCGCAGAAATTCAAGTTACGTACATCGCACCGGTCCGTGGCCTCTGAAGTCCAGCTAAACCAACGCTTGCCTGTAAGTACCCCGAAGAAGAATGCCAGGGACAAAAAAATGTCATCACATCACAACGTCTGGTTTTTCAAGAGTCCGCCGCAAATCTATCTAAAGGCACCACACCGGTACCGCACTGCTCTCGACTCCCGATGTTGCGCCAAACCGAAAGCAGGGCATCAAAAAATCCAAGTCCTTAGATACACAGTCCAAATACGCGCACGATGCGAGCTGGTCAACACGTTTAGAACCGCCATCAACGTCTTGGCGGAAGAGACTCCTCACCAAAAACACTCGAGGTTTGTATCAAGCATCCACATCAAATAGATCATCCCGTGAGAAAAAACACAACTTGATTCAATTTTCACCATGCCAAAATTCCAACATCTTCACCGAATGTTAAAGGGGAGCATGTCCCCGTCAACACACGTTTACCAAGATTGTGTCACCCTTCTCAAACCTCAGCATCGGTATTGTACACCCCCCCCCCTCCCCTCTTGGTGATGTGAGGGCCTGGTCCGGTGAGAACCCGGCGTGCTCCGTCCCGGCTTTGTAGGGATGCGAGGTCAACGGTCACATGACTACGGCATGCACGCCCCTGAGTACACCCCCGCCATGCCCTTTTAGCGAACCAGTGCCGAAGGAGCGAATCGAGCCCGCCTTATCGAGAAGGCAGACCAACCACCACGACATCGCGTTCCACAAATACCCGAGAGCACACCGTGACGGAGGCAACTGATCACCAAAGGTGTCTATTCTCTGCTGTTGAGACGGCGCCTGCGGGGGATTCTTACCGAGCCGGGGGACTCTTACCGAGCCGTGGCCAGCCCAGCTTGAAGCTCTCATCCACAATGTAAGGCTGGCCCGTGTAGGGATTCAGCCGCCTGTAGTACAGAAGAAGCACACAAACGTTGGCACACACATCGTGCCAATATAGCGCGTTGTAGGTTTCGGCTTAATTGATGTTAGCGCAGGAGGAGGTTCGGGAAGAGGCGAGCAGACGATCGTCGGGCTACGGGTGTTCCCACCATACATAACTCTAAGGGGATGCTTTCGTAGCATGGAACAACACTGCTGCTGCCTGCATGCGTGCAGTGATGGGAGTGCAACAACGTGTCGTAACGCAAGACGTATAAGAGAGCCAGAACCCACCCTACAAACGTGGCCGCCCCTCTGGTTCCAACAAACAGGTCACATATTTTAGTCTGCCGAAATCTGTTGAGGGGTTCGCCGTGCGTACAAGGATTGCAAAATTTGAGCCTCGCGTAATCCTCGATTCTGTGCCGCTGCTCCATCAACTTTTCTTCTATGCAAACGTCATTTTTTGCACCGACACCAACTGATCCGTCCTATGCTGAATCCTGGCCACATGTTGCTGCCTCAAGTTTTCGTCCAGACGGCAGCACCTACTCGATCGACACGCTTCACCTCGTTCATAAGAGGATCTCGTCAAAGGCCTCCACACATCAAACTCGGTTCACTACTGCTGTTGAATGCATCGGAAAGCATCCCACGACACGGGATACGGCTTGACCGGCCAATGCACCTCTTTGTTGGACTTGCCTTTTAAACCGTGGTCCGATGAGAAACGTTATCGCCGCTCCACCGAGGAAACCCTGCGGAAATAGGGGCAGCACAGGCGCCGACCGTGCGTGCGGTCGCAGGGTAAACCAACAAGAACATACACCGGGGATATAGAGGAGAAAATGTGCGGTGCGTGGAGCGTCTTGCGTGTTACGGGGGGAGGCGGGGAGTGCGGTTCGTTGGCGCTTTGAAAATGGTCCAGCTATTGAACCAATCATCACCTACGCCAACTTCCCCTGCGATGAATCCGGCGAGTTGCGGTAGTCACAACGAAAGCGAAGTACTGCACCTGTAGCATACAACTGTGAAGGCAAGCTGTCACCTAGCGACAAAAGGGCTCGAAATGTAAATACTCGTACGCAGCATTGGATGTGCGGTACAGCAGTAGGTCTCATGGGTCGTATTGCGCCGTTCGGAAAGAGCCCTGCGGTCAGATTCCGCTGGACGTATCGTTCTCGCGCACAAAAACCTTGCATTTCATCACTAGCTCGACTGTACTTGACCCATGCTGCATCGTCCCATTCCGTCGACGACCGCTCAACTTTGCTGTGATAAATACACGCTTGCAACAAGAAAACAAACCATACTGTTGAACAATTCGAGCATGAACGCCCCAACATATTTGCCGTCTGCTAAAATCCACGCATGCCAATCGCGGAGACATACACAAGACACGAACAACTCACCCCCAGGTGGCCCATATTGTCAATCTGCGAGCTGCCCATGCCGTACACAACGTTGATCATCACCGTCTGTGCCACGTTCCTCAGCGCCCGCTGCGAGTTATTTCGCCCCAACACCGTCTCGTTCATGAGGCAGAATGCCCCCCAAGCTCCGACCATGCCAAATATCGCACCCGAAGCGCCCACCGACTGCCGATAAATGTGGCCAAAAGGTACATGGATTTGAGCACACACGTGTCTCATAAGGTTTACCGAAAAAACATAAACATACACCACAAACAAGTTGTCTGTAAGGTCGCTTCTCTAAACAACTAGTTTGGAGCTTTGACTCAAAAGTATTTCGAGTTTGGGGCAGGTAACTCGCTGTGACTTGGAGGCAGTGTAGCTTTATTGGGGAAGACGGTGGAACAAGTACAGAGGAATGTCGGGTGGTACTGAAGCGCTTTGTTATGTCGCCACGGCCTGAGAGCATTTCCCCCACCCCGGGCAACCTAGACTACCTGGCAGGTACGGTCTTATGCACGTGGGACAAGTGCGAAAGTGATTTACAGCTTGCAAGAAAGAGTATCGGCGTATGTTACACGTTCCACTCGGGAAAACAACACCCATAAGCCAATTGACGAGGTGAAATGTTAGCAACGAGGGCCGTTCCGGAGAGAGGTCCTCGTCTCTTCTGCTCACCGGCGTACGTGGGTTGACGATGCAGCTCAGGACATTGCCAGCAATGCCTGCTACAGTGTACACTGTAACGAACTTTGCCTTTCCCATCACCCTCTCCACCTATGTTCGAGACAGATAAACGCGCCAGCAGTGAGATTACAATTGTCAGCAGCGTAGGTGATAACACCTATCGCGAAAGCAAAAGCGGCACCGTAGAAAAGGACGATTGGTCGGTGGTTCAACTCCTCAGAGGTAACTACGAAGAGCTAACACGCGACTGAACATAAACCATTCCTCCGGGAGGCATACAGGGTCACGAAATTCCCACAAGCAATCGCGTTACATCACGTTCTCACCTTCGTCTCAACTGCACTTGTCCACACAGTACAACCGACCAACGGCGCGTCACAGAACACCTCGACACCGTAGGCGTGCGTGTGTCTTCATACCGAAGGGAATTTGTTTGTGCTGCGCGATACAGAAAACAACAGCGGAGTACTGGACTACTTACTGTAGGCGCAAAGAAATGGTGGCACACAAGCCCCATCCCCTTCTTCTCTCACCACCGGGCCGACGCTGCTGAAGGACATGCTATTGACCGCCAAGTGTGTGAAGGACCCGTGCAGCACGATGGGCGTCAGGAGGCGGTACCACTGTCCTTGCTGAGTGATCGCTGGCGCCATCTGCGGCGCGCGAAGCAGCGCAAGCACGTTGGTGGACCGATTAGCGTAGGCCGTGCGAAACAGGAATTGTGAGCGGCTCCATAGTTCGGGCGCAGTCTTGCGTGAAGCTTTGCCATGTTTCTCTTGTAAAGGGTTCGCAGAGAGATTTATTATTGGCATGCTGGGGGAAGCTCATACTGAGAATGCTGGCCCCCTTCCGGGGACCTTGATTTTGCCCGCTGACACGGACGTCTTTACATTGGTCAGTCGGTCACCGCGGTCGATGCCAATAAAGGAATCCCGTGACAAACCGCGGAACGAACGGGGTGAGGGCTTGGACACACGCTTGCTACCAACTTTAACGGGTGTCGGAATAAGCCAACCAATGACCAAGCTGCGTACAAACTACCAAACAAGTGAGACTGAGCGACGTGCATCACCGGCGGGGGGAGTGCTGCAGCGCTGCTCCCAGATTCACCACGTAAAAAACGACCAAGAGAATGTTCTTCCATAGTGCGCGGGGGGGGAGATTGACGATTCCTTCATCATCCGTGCATACCCGCCACGGGTGCATGGCAAGGCCCCACCCAGTCACCGGCTCTCACCCTGCCCCCACATTTACCGGGCAGGTGCTCTCCCGTTCCCTTAACTTGTCTGAATCTTGTACAGTTTTGAGTTCAGACCGCGAGTGAGGTTCCAACCTCAGCACAACAAAGGATGTCCTCGAAACGCAAGCTTGATCGAGAGAACTCTGTTTCGAATTGTAAGAACCATTGGGTGCTCACGTTTGTATCCGACCGGTCCCAACAATTTCAAACTGAGCGGAATACGGACAACACTTCAATATTGTACTATTCGTGTAATATTTGAGGACGCTCCCGCCCGATTGTGCGCGCGCACCTTCCAGCCCGCCTTGGTGATTGCCGGGTATCGCATCTGGAAGAGGTATACGATGGCGTTCAACGCGAGCAACGCGTTCGTCGCCGTTATCCCTCCTTGACCGCCGCTCCCGCCGGCCTGCCGCTGGTGCTCACACGCAACAAGGAAAACCCAGGAGACCACCCGGTGGTCACAGTAAAACAAGCAGAGGCAAGTGGGACAACCAAAGCACAACACACATCACAGTTCGGCCATGCTTGGACATCCGCATCCTGGGTGGAATGCCTGCCAGGCCGCTGCAGTTGGTTTCGAACTTGACAAGGACTGACGAAATCGAGATGGAAATCAAGATCAATTCCGTGGTGGTATGCACTGTACATACCTATAAGCACGCACAGCGCATTGTACACATCTGTAAGCATACGTGCGTACTTGGGGGCTACACACGACTTCACCAGTTAAACTACCCCTCCGCCTCCTCCTCGTCTCGTCGGTACACACCTGCACCGGTCGTCGACCGAAAACGGACCTCCGACGGTAGCCCCCGCGGAGCGTCGATTCCGGCTGCGACGAGTCGGCGTCGTCATCATCACTCGCCATCATCATAACCTGCTCTCACAAAGCATCCAACCAAACGACGAGACACCGCACACATTATATCGTCGTTCTTGAAGAAAAACACACATGTACCCGAGGCAAGCAAAGTCTTCCGTCCTTTCTTCGACCAAAAGCATGTCTCCCATGTCGGATGTCTCGCTAAAGGTGATCCATGATACAGCCCTCCTGGCATTGATTCCGTGGCACTACTTTGCTTTCTCACATGCGCAGCCCCGAGAGCCATCATGTCGCCCTTGCTGTCCTCCGTGTTTTCCCCGTCGTTCCCCCAACCTCCGCCTCCATCACCGCCGCCCCTGGTTTGGAAGCAAGATATGTCAAGACCGCTGTTTAGCTGACGGTACGTGGTCCCAGTGGTACACTGCAAAGGCTTGCGGCAGCGTGCCACAACTAACTTTTAGAGGTAGGAATCAAATCCAAAAGCAGAACAAAACCGACAAGAGTGGACAAAACGCGAACAAGTGCTGCCGCCAACGTACAACGAACAGCAGGGTTGAATCAGGCGAAGGAGCGTGCAAGTCACCGTAGATTTGTGCCACAGGGTGTCGGCGTCTAGTACAACCAAACGCACAGCTGAGGGTGTTATCGCTTAAGCCACGACAATCGCACCAATTCTGAGAGATCGAGTTCTAGCATGAAGTAGACCGAAAGTCACCCGTGCGCGCAGCGGACGCCAGCTTGTCCAAATCAAGCAAGAGACAAACTCCGTGAGACTTTCGGACAGCAGACCGGCGGTCAGGGTGTCAACGTCGACTACGACGTGAAGGAGATATTGCAACACCGACAGCAAAGAAATGAGAAATGAAAGTAATTCGTGCTGCAACCGGGACAGCCGAGAACTTCACCTCCCCAGCCCGCCGCTCCTCGGAGGCCCTGACGAACCACTGTCGCTGTCTAACCCGCCGAAAATCCTGCCTACGAGGTTGCTGCCGCTTTTGCTGCCGCTGGAACCAGGATGGCTTCCGTCGCCACCGCGGCGAAATATGCGAGGCGCAAAGTTGCGTGGGAGTGCCGTGTCTCTCCCGCCGTCGCCGCCGCCGCCAGAGAGCATCACTGCTGTTGCTCGGTCCTCGCAGCGGGCGAAGCGGGAGATGGAGAAGCAGCCGTGTTCCCCGCCCACCGCTGCGGTGGTCGTCGCTCGCGTAGTGATCGATGGTTGGAGAACCTTATCGGACTGAGTGTAGCAGCGGGTGGTGGAGAACGCCGCGACGGCTGGTCGGGGCACGACGAGGGAAGTGGCGGAGTGGCGTGGGGGTCGTGGGATGAAGGGCGACCACGACTGCAGAGAATTGGTCGATGGCATTTGTACAAATTGGCCCGTCACAAAAGTTGCAAATACGGCAGTTTATATAGTCAAGGAGCTTGTTGGGACGCGTTTGTCCTCGGGCCTTTGCTTTTGGGGGGGGGGAGGTACTTACATTTGATCGTCTGGGAGATGATCCGATTACGATGTGTGCGTCTGTTTTCGTCCCCCCCCCCCCCCCCC